ATTTTAAAGTATCTCAAAATAACTTTTATCTATAAAAGTAATCGCTATATTCTAGATATTTTTTTTATCCAACGGAATAAGATAAACATATCAGATGATATGTAAAATTTATGTTGTTAAAAAAGCGAAAATGTGATTCCAAAATTCCTGCATGCAAGTATAATTCAATATGTATATTGTGTGCGTTGTTACAATTTTCCAAATGTTAATTACAATGCAATTGAACGAAATTGCAAATCGCAAAAATTTTCTTCAAGAGAATTTATTTATCCCTAATTTAATTTAAAATGAAGCATGATACATATGTATATGTATAATGTGGTACAAAAATATATTGTCAACGAACATTATAATAATGAATATTAAATTTCAAACTTATCAAATATTGAAACACCGGCCTCGAAACAACAACATGCAATGAATTTTGTTTAGTATATACTTATTTTAGCATAGCGGTATCAATTTTGACCTACATATTATCATCTCACATATTATAAATAATATTGCAAAAGAATCCTGGCTATAGAGAGAGAGCATCAGTTTTTTACTAACTAACGTATCCGACAAAGAGCGTTATTTAATAATAGCTTAATCAAGAAGATTCTAAATGCATCAGTAGCACAATAATTTAGGAATATTTCCATCTAGGAATATATGTTTTATATTTATTCGTCTTTTTTTTGGTTACGGTTTACTTAATGCTACAAATGCTTCGAAGAATTTTTTGATTGATTAATTAGTGAAATTCTTTCTTCCAAATGATCAATCAAATTGCTTCGAAACATTTGTAACGTCAAGTAAATTGCATCATTTATTACTTAGTTTTGTTTCGAATAGTTGTATTTTTTTTGCTAGTTTTTGAAATTATTGAGTTTAACACAAGTATAATCTGACTGTTTAAGTTTGACCAAGCTCGATATTGCCGCGATATTTGACATGTCGAAGAGAGTAATGGAATTAAGCATTTTTAGTAACAAAAAATGTCGACCTGTGATTATTATGTAAAAATGCCGCGTTTGTGTTGTGTGCAATCGAGACAGGATTTGTTTCCATTATGCTGCATATATATTGTATTCCCATCGTCAGCTCATCAAGTATCTTACAACGGTAACATTAGAGTTCGACGATTTTTAGTCGAACACGCTCAAATACGATTCAGGAAGTAAGCCCTCTCGGTTTAGCATATAAATATGCTGTGTAACGCGGCGTACTTAAACGAAATAAGATCCACATTGTTAAATGCATTCTAGTATAAGATAGCACGGTGGCGAAACGAAGTGATTGGCGTCATTGAATCGTCATAGTACGTAATGAGTATGTATGTTAATAAAATATATTCCCGACCCGCGCGCGCGCGCATATTTATGAAAGTGAGAGTGAGAGATTGCAAGTTGTTAACGTATAATAATTATGACGTCTCACGATATTACGTTAAGATATAGATAAATGTGTGCATTGTATCCAATAGCTCTGTAGTTTCACCGATACACGTTCATCTCTCTATATAAACGAGTCGACATATACATGTATATATACATACATACATAATACATATGACATATATACATACATACAATAAGATTCATCGAGAGACATGAGGCCGCACGGGCATTTGTTTCGTCAAAAAAAGGATAAAGAAAGGATCGTTTAGCATATAACCCATAGAACACTATAGTGTACCATCATGCGTTCATTGTATGATACTTACGGATGTTTAAATCCAATATTTAACGCCCGATATTTTTACGCGGAAAAATACTGTATGTAAAAATTTATAAGTGTCATACTCTCTCTCTCTCTCTTTTTCTCTCTGACAGGCGTTTAAATTCAATATTTTAACCGTGACACTTAGACAGGCGTTTAAATTCAATATTTTAACCGTGACACTTACAAGCATCTCTGATAGCCTATTTTTATAAACAAGCAATAGTTAACGGGTAGCTTCTCGAGACCTTACTTACTTGGCATCGTTTCGCGCCCCTGAAATTGTTTGAAAATATGTGAGACGAGCAGATAGAAATTCGAATTCAAACCGCTGCCACTTTCAGCGCACTCTTAATTTGTAACAAATAACATACAAATAACAAATTGATAATTTTATACTTGAAATCCATACTCGTAAGTGCATCGACGGCAGTGCGATCCAAACGTTTCAGTCTATCGCGTTGTCTCGTGAAAAAGCAGCTACCGTAACAGCGTGAACAGATACTATCACAGTGGCAGGGTTTGTGACCGGTGATTTTTGATAATTTTCCATGACACGAAGATACCTTTGTACGCGCACTGCAATTCAATCGAATGAGGAAAACGACAGATAAACTATATCATTGTGACTTTATATATGTGCGACTTCGTATATCTATGTAAATAAATAACCAAGCTCTTGAGACTGATAATGTCGTTCACCTTATTTTTTTAATACGTAAAGTACAACAGAACAAATAGCAAAGACAAACTAGAGTGTTGTTTGTTAATAATTTATTATAATGGCTTGGTACCTATACATCTCTTAATATAGACAATCATCACAAATAACGTGTAAAGTGAGTGTATACCGCGTACAAAAGGCGCAAAACATCGCACAGTGGGTAGAATCGCAAAAACACGTGGCCAAAATGGAAAAAATAAACTTTCTTATTTTATATTATGAATGGTTTGGTTATAGGTTCGGGATTTATCCTAGCATTCCTTTCCAAGAGGGTAGATCAGTACTTGCTCCGATATCGTTTATCGCTAGTAGACTAGTCTGAAATTGATCCTTATTCCGAACGCATACACCGTGTATGAAAGTAAGAAAAATTATGTTCAAAATGATATAACTTTAGTGAAAATTATATTCAATTTAAATCTTTCAAGATGGAAAATCTTCCTGGAGATATGTATAACATGTTTTTACGTATATTGTTATGTTATACGTGTTATACAAAACGGATTCAGTTCGCAACTGGGACTTGTCGTTGATTATCCAAAGCCAGGATATGAAAGCATCAACGATGGAAATACGGTACGGCGTTTCTTCGAACACGCAACTACATCTGCTACAATAACAGGTGTCGACGAATCTTTAATTTATCGCTTTCACATTATTCTGCAGGCTCTTTCGAGTGGCCATAATGTAAATTGCGATAAATTTAGAGAATATTGTTTGCAAACTGCGCGAAAATATGTCGACTTATACCTGTGGTATAATATGCCAACTTCCGTACACAAAATTTTAATTCACTGGCCAGAAATAGTAGCCCATGCTTTATTACCGATTGGACAACTTTTGGAAGATGCGCAGGAATCACGAAATAAGGATATTAAAAGATTTCGTGAAGACTTCTGCCGAAAATACTCGAGAGAAGCAACATATAAGTTGTCTTCAACCGGCTGTTGATCACCTCGGATCCATATATTTCAAGTGTTCGAAAACTGCCCCAAAAACCATTGAAATCATTGGCACCAGAAGCTGTTCAATTACTGGAACCACCCGAAACTTCTGCACCACACAATTATTTTGATGATTCAGAATCATTCGATATCGAATTGCTTACTTTATATGAATCTAACGACGAGCGAGATTTTTGTTATTAAGATAGAAATAATGACTTTAAAATTGTTTTAATTGTTTTCTAAATCCACTATCTCCAAAATCCCTTTTATAACATCCCTTTCATATTTTCATCCGCCATTTTAGATCCGCCACTTTGAATTTTTAAATTTTAACTTCAAATTCGTAATCAGCGACCTCGAAAACCCCAGTATATTCGATTTCAATAATGTTTTACATTTTGACTACGTTTTTGCGATTCTACCTTACTGTGCGTTGATAGAATTCTCTTTTTTTCTGTGATGTCTGATGTCCTATGTTAATAATCATCGTGATAAAATCGCGATGAAATCAGATATGTCAAAATTGTTTCTTTAATCGAGTGTTATAAAAAATATGCACAGCGCTAACAGTGAGTTGTGTACACAATGCATGCGTCTTACTGTTTGCGCGTACAAAGAAAGATGTAGTTATATTTATCTTTATTCGCTTTAAGAAAATTCAAATTTTATAAAATCGAAAAGAAATCGAAACGTATCATGGCGCAATTAAAATCTAACTTATCTTTAAAATATTTGCTAAAAAATCTTTTGTTGTCGATATATTACATTTTTCTTGATGTTATAAAATTATAGTTCTTTTAAAACATATATTAAATAATTAAATATAATGTGGCTTTAAGAAATGGAAAGGAGAAAAGATTAGGGGCTTTGCCCCGGTAGAAATGTATCTAAAGAGAAATCGCAGAAATTGGAGATTACATAGAGCACAAAGATCGCGTGACTACCGTCGATTCTCAATTCGACATGAGAGAAGAAGGATATCATCCCTTGCTTGGACATCCACTATTATAGCACGCGACAATACTAGCATCATCACACGTGTGGTTTAAGATGGGAAAGACAATCTGCTTTACGTGGATATTTGTTAGTTCAGCTACTATTTAGCGAATGGATCTTTGCAATTTTCGAAAACATTCTTCCATTACTCTTTGTACTCATTGCGATATATGTAAACGCAGATAAACACAAACCTGCTTTTGCAGTAGAATTTTAACCTCGCACGAAATTCCTTACAATCGTGAATTAAAGTCTAACTCCAAATCTTGAGATTGTAGAATATTAAAAAAAACTCATTAGCTTTAATTTCTTCGATCATCGTACGTTGTGAGTGCATAGCTTCATTACATAAATAGAATTTACCAGATAAAGATATCAATTCTGAATTAAAAACAAAATTAGCTATGCAATAAACTGAATTAGTATAAGAAATAAATTATCGTATCCGAATGGAAAAAATTAAGAGAATTTTTTATATGAACTAATGAAAACAAACAAAAATCCTCAGTCAAGTTAGACTCTAATATGTAATTTAAAAAAATATGCAATAATAATAAGATTAATATTCCATCTTTTCTATCATCCTTTATACACGATAAGCTTATTATACTTCTTTTTTTGGTATGGATTGACAATTGGTATCCTTCACATAAATACACGTATATGATACACCAGTTACGTAACGCAGGTGAAGTGACTGTGTCCTTAAAATAAGCGGAGTATCAAACAATTATTGCATAAATCAATGAGCGAGTGGTTCGCACTGGGTATCCCAACCCGGCTACTGGGTGGAGGTGATTGCGAGCAAGAAACACGGTTTTTTTTTTATCTATCGCTATGAGAAACTATACTGTCGTCACATTGAAAAAGTATGCAGCACGTTGTCTATTCGCCGTGAAATAAAGTGCAACGAAGCGCGCGTGTCCAACGGATCGTTCGACTCATCATCGATCACGATCGCGAGACCACCGCTGCCGAGAGAGACGGACATTTTCCCGGCAATCGAACCGTGTTGTTGGCTATCGATTTGTTCTTATTGACATTATGTGAACATCATTTTTATAGAATCAAAGCCGCCTGGCATCCAACGCCTTGTTGAGGTCACTGACTAGCATGCCGAGAATGGGTCTATGTTCAGAATCATATCGGAACACCGAGTCCAAAAATTTGGGGTACGCCAGGAAGTCGAACACCTGGTCGCAACGCTGCGACGACTTGTCTGTGAGATGCGGCTTTATCAACTGCTGGAGCAACGTTCGGCAACGTTCCATCGAACCTGTCAGGTACTCCTGGTCGTAACTATAATCCACCTCGTAGAACGACACGACAGTCATCGCCACTGTTCCCAGAGCCTCTCGGATCTCTTCCAGCTTCTCAGTGTCGTTCGAACGGAATTGATGACTGCGCTGCACGAGTCCAATCTACGGATTACGTTTTATGAGATAATTTATGCATTTAGTTGAAATTAATATCGTACTAATATATTAGTACGTAGAATTAATTATGCGCTTAATTTGATATGTATAAGTAGCCAGTTATTATGCTAATTATTAGCATTTAACAATAACAGTATTCCAGTTTTATTATTATATAGAACGATAGATGAGATAATTCCATTATTTCACTTTTATTATTACATATAAATGAAATAAAGTAAAAAAGAAGTAAAATTTTCGAAATAAATGTATCTGTGTTTAAAGTAAATGTATTTATTGTTAAATGATATATTATATAAAATGTATATATTATTAAATGATGCTGATTATTGAATTTTTAATTATGGAAAACACGATTCAAAACAATTTATTGAATATCATGTTAATTATATTGTACATTAAAAAATTGCTTCTTTTAAAATTTCAATTTGATATCTATTATATAAGTTTACAAGAATAAATATATACAATTTCTATTGATGCTTTTTTCTTCTCAATCGGCTTATAACTTATTGCAGAATTTTTTGTCATCAAAATTAAAATCTGGATTCCGAAGTGCTTTATGTATACCTTGATAGATAATTTGACGATGTTCTTGAGGACCTTCTCGGGCTCCTTCTTGTCCAAGTGTGGGTTACTCTTAGCGACGCTTTCCATCAGTTTGTACAAATTATCAAGCAACGACGTCGTGGCGTCGTCGATGAAGAGCGATCGACCTGCATTAGTGGACATTATGCGGCCGAGGAGCTTCTTCTGAGCGCGTAGCCCTAAATCACGGGTGCGACTTCCGGTCCCGCTACCGGCGGAATATGATCCGCCACCTCCGCCTCCGCCGCCACTTCCGATTGTGTTTGCCGACTGCATCACTGTAATATTTTCGCACAGTGAACGACCGCTGCTCGTGTGCATTGTGTGTGTTCGTCCGCGTTCTCGCATTTATTTAAATGCGATCGTGCGATCCCGGGCTTTATTCGTTCGAGGCAAAGCTCGCGTCCGGTAAAAGTCTTCAACCGTTAATATATTGCAAATAACGAGTTTCTTTTCTATTATAATCTCTATTTAGCGTCGTTTAATACTAGAAATAACGCTATTCATATAGTACGCTTCATCCGAGGGACATCCTAGGAATGCCCTTAGAGACGTCTTTTGAATTCTTATTTGAGACATCTGTTGAATGTCTGTGCAGTAAGTATATGTATATCTAATATTACACTGAGAGAAAAAAAATGGTTGCAATTATTTAGTTATATTATGTAATTATTTTTTAGGACAACTATATAATTCATATATAATTTATATAATTTATAATTAACAAAATTAATTATGTTACGAGTATAATAGTCACACACTGCTTAAAAATGTTTAGTTTTTTACATATTTTTTAGTTATTATAATTAAATTGTAAGTGAATTTTAAAAAGACAATTTACTATAATTGCAATTTATTGTATTAACTGAATAAAAATTTTTATTTTATTTACTATTTATGTCTTGAGAGAGAGATATATTTTATTACTGTATTAATATTAGAAATTATCATAATTTATAGTAAAAGCTTTATATGAGAGAACTATACATACATGTAAGATTATGGTTATTAACGTTATAGCAGCAATTACCATAAAATAAAACTCTCAATCATAATTATTTTACCATACAATTATATCACAAATATTTTTCTCTCAGCAGAAAGAGAAATATATAATTGATATTTATTTAAAAATCAAATTTATATTAATTTAATATATAAATTTTATATTTTGTATTTATCTGACAAGAGAATTCAATATTTTCAAATTACTGTAATTATGTAATACGAGATTGAGCTTAACATGAACTATCATGTTTCACTCAGCGATAAATATTCCGTGAAAAAAGAAAAACGTTTCCCCAAACTGACAATTGAACAACTTATCGTGAACAAGGGAACAAAAGGCTTGCGTGTTTGAATGAAATACAAAAGTAGAAAGTCTGACGACTTGGGGAGACGGAACGTTACAATTCCAGCCTGAGAATGGCGCGAAAGTGGCTGTGTCTCAACGAGGTCTTACAACTCTCGGTTACAATGTCTCAGTGTGAGTATGCTTCTGTTCGCACACTTCGTACAATGAACTTACCATCAAGCATCGGTAGACTACCGTTTCATCTGGATCGTGATAGTGGGATGACAAATTAAATAAAGAAGCGGCGATCTGATTGTGCGTGAATAATGGTCCAGGCAAACTCAGGCAAACGTAACTAAAATAACCAAGGGTTAATAAACGGAGAGTCGTTAATAAATCACGTGCGTAACTCAAATGTTGCGGGTTCGTGGAAGTGCTCGAGACACGATGAATGGCGAATCTTCGCTACCTTGATTGCAGTCGGTGACAGCCACTAAATGATAGAGCAACCAGCTCTGCAATTCCATTACGGCTGTGCCCCACGCCACCTGAAATTTCAAAAAGAATTTACAGAAAAATCTGTAGATATTTTGTAACGTATATAATATAAATATTTTTTAACATTTATAAGACGCTAACACAAAGATTTGATGAGAAAATTGCATTTTCCAGAAAGTTACATAAAGTTTCGTTTACGTTGAAGTTTCCATCGCAGAATTAGATATAAATAATAACGATATATGATAATGAAATTATTACTCTGCAGAAATTACTTTACAATTATCTGTTAATTTATATTATAATCAAATAGAGACAAAATTAAATATTTTTTCAGTAAAGATATTAAATATCGATGTAATTATCATAAAATTAAATCGTCGATTATAAATTTTATTCAACTAAATTTTTCACGGAAATATTTCGTATATATGATAATAACATAACAGCTAATATTGAAAGTAAATGAAAAAATTTTGTGACTTCTTTATCCGTACAACTCATAACAGTTAATTATTGTGAAACAAAACGAACAATATATTTATCCGGAATGCATTCAGCGAATCGTTGCCCGATTCCTTGAAACGCAAAGCCGCCACAAAGCCCATCGAGATAAAGTTAATTACGCTTCGTTGCCAGGCTAAAAGCATCATCAAAGATATAAATTGATTGGTTCATAATCCGAATTTATTCCTTATGAGAAAAACAAGCTTTTCAGCAATATAAAGATTTTTAGCACAAAACGAAATAATAAATGCCAAAAAATAAAAATATTCACAGACATCTATTTTCTCTAATTTATTTTTAAATTCATAATCATACCCAATTTGAGTCATTTTTAATTATTTAATATAAATCATTACTGTTATATCTCAATATGTCATTAATTTAACTAAAACCATAAAGTTAAACAATTTAATTAAAAAAATGTTAATTAATTTGACTTAAGTTTAGTTTATTACTTACTAAGCGTTTATTTTAAGCAATTCGACCAGAGAAAGTTTGAAAAATTAATGTGACTCTTTTTAACTACACATTGTGTATTAAAATATTATAATACATTTTGACATATTTGGAGATAAAAAATAAAATGTTATTTAACTTGAGAAATTGGTCCAAATTTTATCCTTTAATATTTAACAATAAAAAATCACAAAAAAATATTCTTTATGTTTATGTCGTGTCTCGTAAATATCTTATAAATGCCACCTACAGATTTTTACAACGCTATATGAGCCTTGACACAGATAAAAGCTCTTTCAAAGGATAACTTCGGGAATACGATGTTTACTGTCTTTCTTATATAAGCTTTCTTATATATTTAAGCACAAAATTGCTCCTTAATGCCTGTTTTCATCAATGTAGATTAACTTTAATCTTGATTCAACTTTCTCTTCATCTTTTTCTGATTCTAGGTGTTTCGTTTCTTGCGTGTAAATCTCGGGTTATCTCCACAAACGACGCAAGTGAGGTATTTACCTCCATCCTCTACTGAGCCAACGGATTTTGGACGAGTGTGAGATTTATTCAACAGAGGCTTTTGTTACTTATATGACTTGAAATTTATTTTAGTTTGCTAGATCAGGCGATGTGTGGTGTGTTTAGTATTTAGTTTTCAAATAAAAAGTGAAGTCTTGGTAATTCCCAGCTATTAATATTAATTCGATTATAACATAAGTGACATTTGTAATTCCGAATACATCCGAATTGTCACAATTGTTCTCGGAACTCATCAAATCTTTCTTGAATCGCGCGTCGTAACGGTATTCCAAGAATAAAATACGAAACACTAGGAAATAAATCAAAAAGTCTATACACGAATTCCTCTATAAACTAGTAAAAATATCTATTTTGTCAAACGTTGGATGTTTGTTTATAAAATTTCATAAAATGTTTTCAGATCTAACTCGTATATTTTTTTTTTTTTTTCAGGAAAATATCACTCAAATTTGTGTCAAAAGAGATTGTTGTGACGCGTAGTTGAGAGTCTCTCCCTCACTCGTGCAATTCGTCTTAACAAGTGCGAACGATCCTAATGCTGGAAATGAAATGTAATACGAGCCAACGACATCCGTGTCGCACGCTATCATTCGCATCTATACATACACACGGGCTTATAATATAAGGCACCACCTTTGCCAGAGTTGGATCGATTTAGTAAGGAGCGTCAAGGCGAGCCAGAGACTCTCATTCACCTTTGCACGGTTGAACTGACAGCGGGCAGTCGATTAAAACTCAAGCGATTCGCGTCAATCCATGCAGCCTTCCGTTTTAGATATTTCATTGCAATTGTTACTGCAGCAATATTAAATTCAATAAATCAAACTCCACGTGCAATACAATTACAAAATAAATCTTTCAGCTGTATAAAAAAATATAATATATAATTCAATTGATCGTCGATTTAATAATGCTATTATTAGCATCTTGAAATACTGTAAAGAATTTATTGTAAAAAATATCCTGGCTGAGAGGTAATATTTTTCGCAACTCGCAATAAATTCTGTATAGTGTGTAAAATTATATTAGTGAAAAACTGAAAGGTTTAAAAAAATTAATAAATAGCGTTAACAATGAAGAATTCATAAAAATATTGGATATTGATTATAAATTACGATTAGCAATACGTATATGTTCGTTACAATATTTAATTTTCATACTCGAAATCTGTAAAACTTGGAACATTTTTTTATAATATCATAGCAGAGATTTTTTTTAAATAAAAACATTATATTATTTAAATCTTGAATAAAAAAAAATTAGCTCGATTTTGTCTGCTTTCGATGTTTATTTTTATCGGAATTTCGATTAATTTCATCTTATTTCTTTAATCTCATCGTATATTTTTGCAGAAAATCACGACTGGACGTATCGAATTCTTTTATCGTCTAGTTCATTCCTACATTTTTAATAATTATCGAAATATAAGGAAAATGTAAGTTAATCTAGACCGGTATATAAATAAATAATGAAAAAGGAAATATATACAGTCGAGACTATATAAATCTCAAGATGTCTAAATAATATTTATGTATATAAATTCTACTTCTAAATACATATTTTAGTTATATAAATTGTATACCGTTTATTTAAAATGTTTACTTAAAACGCAATCATAAACTACAGCTGAAATAATAATATCATAATTAAATCGATCATCGATTTGATAATGATGTCACTAGTATTTCAAAATATTATTAACTTATTGCGAAAACTATCTTATTGTTAGCTGAGATAATATTTTTTGCAATAAGTTAAAATATAATATTTTGAGATACTAGTAACATCACTATCAAATCGACGATCAATTTAATTATTATTTCAGCTTCATGTTTCCTTTATTCGTTCCGACAGTGTGAACACAGTGTAGAATTTATATAACTGAAAGATAAACTTAAAATTTACATATAAAAATATTATCATAGGCAGAAAAATCTAGCCTCGACCGTAACAGCCTTTTCTTTACTTACTTAAAAGAAGAATACAAAAAAATTACTAAATTTTAATACATATTTCTTTGAATAATAAATATTTACTCAATAAAAATGACAGTTAATCATTAAATCAAATTAATGATTTTTGTATCAGATAGGTATAATGTTTATATTTAATAAAAATCTACATTTATATATATATATATATATATAGAACTCTATTCAAAATACTTATAAAAATTTAGTATTTTTCTCAATATACAGAAACAATAATGTAAATAAAAAAGAAAATATAGACTAGTCATTGAAATATACTTGGATAAATCATAGAATAAAAAGAAGAACATCGTTTACTACTTATTTTCCATTTTCATAAAAAGTTATTAGGTTAACATCACGTTTACTTTTCGTTAAAAATATTCACTTTTGCGAATCATAGCATGGCCGATTCCGAATACACCCCGGACGAAACCGCACAGGAATAATACGTTATATGAACGATCGATCGTCGAATACTTTCGCTCTCTCTTTCTCCTCTCTCGGACTTTCCGCGATAGTCGGAGGCTTTAGGGGCTTTGTTTAGGCGTCCATGTTGGCGCTTTTGGGCACCTGTTTGTTGTCGCGTGCTCGTTCAAACAATGCCGGTCATCGCCAATGGTCAATTGTTTCGCTGGACTGCGCAATTTCTCGCGGAAAATACGCGTCCAAGTTACTCAATGCAAAAATGTCACGTACAAAAGCGAAATTACGTACGCAGTGAATTATCAACCGTTTGACAAAATGGAAGAATAATATTTTTTTTCATCGGACGATGATTTGTGATCGACAATACGTGCACATATTTGCATTAAACTCTCGATATATATATATTTCTAGAGAGAGAGAGAGAGAGAGAGAGAGAGAGAAAGAACATGTATTATTTTAGAAATTCTCTTTCTAGTAATAAAGAGGAATAATTTAACTTCGTTGAAAAATCCATTTTATAGGAAATTCAGTTTTCCATTAAACAGCAAATTTATTGAGAGTTGAATTCCTTTTAATTCTTATACAGACATATCGTTCCTGATAAATATTTGCAGACACAACTCGATTACGAATCCGAGCTCGTGAAAAATATCGTTATCCTCTTTTTACTTCTAATCGCCGACGGCAATCGTGAGCAAAAAAAAAAACGTTAGCGCGCACTAGCAGATCCGGTTATTTCGCACAGCATCGAATAATTAACTCGAATAAACTGAGATTTCTTGAGAGTCTTAAGATAGCTATTTCTTCCCCGCATGCATCTTTCACGACCGTCCATCAGGTGGCTTGTCTTCGGAATATTCGATCGGTAGCTATAAATAACCACGTGTATCTCCCGTGATTGATTCGATTTACCTTCCTCAACCAGCCTAATTCGATATGTACATGTCGTGAGTTTCCCATGAAACAGCGTTCCACGAGAATCCTAGTCGCTTCGTGGAAACCAGTTTGACTGCGACTCGAATCTTCGTAAAACGTGTTCGCAGTACGATATTCCGATATGTTATGTTTCTGGAATATTGCGAAAGGATCTGCGAACGTCTCCGATTAATTTGGAATCAATTTTTTCCTGTACGAAA